CAACCACTTAATCAAATTTGATAAAAATTTTTTTATTTGAATTCTACAAATCTGTAGAATGCAAATAAAAAAATTTTATTGAATTTGATCAAGTGATTGCTGAGATATATTTGATCAAAATTTTGGTAAAAATTTTGATTTAAGATTTTTTTTTCGGTTATTTTAAAAAGAATCAATATATTTATAGCCAACTGCTTCGTTCAATGTAAAATAAATTATCTTAACAAAAAAATAAACTAAATAGCACATACATAACAGTATAAACTTAATAGTTATGTAAAAAAAAAAGACAAAATTATCATTCATATCGATAATTTTTATATTTCAGTAAAATTTATAAGTCAAAAAGGATAGTATCATGCTAAAGAATACAATTATCTACAGTACCAAACTTTAAGTTTCATATGTACTTTACTAATATCTATCAAAAAAAAAATTTTTATTAATGCTAGCTTTATTAAGTAAGGTTTTAAAGATTTGTCAATTGCTAATTACATATAAGAACAGTTGATGTTTGATAAATATATAATGAACGAAATACGTATATAGAAATAATTATGATATGCATTTAAAATGAATACATAGAAAAAAAATACTGTAATAGCTTTTTAGCACATTAAATTTATCAAAAAATATAATATGCTTGTAGTAAATAAAGTTAATACAGACACATAAAAATATTATATATCAATTGAAAAATGTAACAGCATATGTATAAAATTTATTAGTAAACATATAAAGTTTACTGTATTATAAAAATTAATGGCTTTCAAAAATAATGCTTTTAAATTATAAGTTTTTAAATAATGTTTTGTAAAGCTTTCTATCTAATAATGTGCATTATTATTTCATCTTACAATTTAATAATTATATAGATGATTGAATAGAAAAATATTTGATAAATAATTCTAGTATTAAATATTAAAGATTCAGAGTCATATTATATAACAAAAACTAATATTCAAGTGAAATATATATAAGCAATCAATTTTGGCCTTTAACGATATTAAAATTTAAGTCTCAAAAACAATATTTAATAATATCAAATAATACCAAATTAAACTACTTATCTCTTAAGATTCGCCTGGTGCAATAGTATCAATTTAAAAAAAAACTCTTACTTTTCTCATTTATCTATAAACAACATAATAGATCAATTGAATAATAATATTAATGGTTAGTTTTAAATAAATATACGTCACTCTAGTTATATCAACATCTGGATATACCGATATTTGACAATAATGATATTTTTAAAAATTTGAACTTATAACTTAATATGAAAATGTCTCTGATTAGAATATATCAGAAAATTTCTTGATTTTTTTGAGATATCAATATAAGCAAAGTGACCTGTATTTAACCTATAAATTATTAATATTAAATAATTAATCTTAATTTTATAAAATACATTTTAGTAAACTCTCATGAAATGAAAGAATGCTCATGCTGTGGAGTATTAAAACCAATCCAAGGATTTATGAGGGTTCATGGTACAAGAAAAGGTCTATTCGCAAACTGCAATCGCTGTTCTGAACAAAAGAAACAAAACTTAACAAGTAAAAGTTTAATTAATAAAGATATGATGCAAGAAGATAATTCAAGTTATTTACAACCTGAAAGTAACCTTGATTCTAGTCTATTAACAATGATTGAAGATGACAATAAAAACCTTATCTAAGAACTAGAAGATCTTGAAGAACTTGTATCTACACATTTTTCAAACAATGAACATGTTGAGTTTTTAGCTATAATTGAATTAAGCAATAAATTATTAAAGAGATATTATCAAATAAAACTAGCCCAAATGATAATAGTAGTCAAGGTGATGGTGGGCAAAGTTTTCATTTTATTATAAACACAATACTAATTTTAATCAAGGCCGGGTCTTGATACTATTGAGAATTAAAAAATTTTTATATTAATAAAAAAAATAATCAACCATACAGATATGCCACTGCATATATGATTTGTTCACAAACAATTGAGTACTAACATAAACGTATTGATAGCCAATCTATTAAGAGAATTAGTGAGATATGGCCAGCCATTAATCAATTTTCTTGTAGCAGAAATGTTATAATAAAAATTAATATTCCCTTGAAACAAGTTATATTATTAGTTACACATTTAATACCACATGAGCATCCAACCTACTGTAAAAGTAAAATTAAATTGCCTTAAGAAGCAATTTTCTGTATTAAACTAAATCTAAATTGTGGTCTTTGTATAATCGAAATTTATAAAAGGCTTTCTAGTGAAAAGCTTATAAACCCAACAATCCATACTTATCATCAAGTATATTATTAGGTGTTTAAATTTTCTGCTAGACAATATGTATCCAATATAAAAAACCAAGTTATCTCAACAAAAAACTATATAAAATGACAGGAATTAGTCAATCACAGGTCAAATGTATGAATAATAGTTAAATAACGGGATATACCTTTATTGACCCGTTATTTACCCGATATGTATTTCGAAAAATAAATAATGGTAAACTAACAGATATCAGCATTAGGGTAAGATGAAAGATAGATATTAGATAC